TTTCCAAAGTCTTCCAAGCAACTGCCATAAGCTGCTCTGCTTTGAAAACTTCAGTATTCATTTTCTTTTGCTTCAACTTGTCAAAGTCAGACTTGTTGACCATTCTACTGATGCCATCCTTCACAGCAGCAGCAGGTGCTGTCACCTGAGTGGCACACAAGCCCACCCTGAGGAAAGGGAGGGTGGTGCTGCCCATCTTCCAATCAGTGTAGGCCACCAAGTTGCAAAAGTCTTCTCCCATCAGAACACTGGCACCATATGATCTTCCTTAGCTGCAAAACAATGAAACAGCACACTTGAAGCTTGCACAAGCTTTGATTGTTTGGAGCCAGTGGGTGCACCAACTTGGTTATCATGAGCTTGTGAAAGCTAGTCCAGCAGCTTATGGAAGCCTTGGGAAATTGAGCTTGTAGAAGCTAGGTGCAAAAGCTTGTAGAAGCTTTGGAAAAAGGCATCCCTGTGCTTATGCATGCTGCCAAGCTTCCAACGAAGTCCAGGTATTTCAGCAAGTTGAAGCTCTCACCACCAGCGAAGCTGCCCACAAAGTCACCAATGCTTTTGATGTAGCTCTTGCAAGGGGGCATGCTTGAAGCTGCTTGACTAACAGCTTTCCCCAAGTCCTTGTGGCCTTGGGGCTGCAACTCATAGGTCTGGGCAATGGTCATCATCACTTCCAGCTCGGTTGGTGGCTTCAAGATGCCATGGTCACCTGAATTGGTTCCCAATGAACAACAAAAAAAACACGTCAGGAACTCCAAACACAACATGGTTGGGTTGCAAAGGGGTCTTTTGCACCAAGTGGCTGTTGTAGGCTTGCTGAAGCAAAGAAGGCAAGCTTGGGATCTCCTCTTCCACCTTTGCAGAAATTACTGTCCAATCCCATCCTTCTTGAAGAAGCTGTCCAAGGTCGTCTCCTTTGGCTTGCAGCTGCTCCAAAGACAATTGTTCAGTACCAAAGGTGCACCCAGCTTCCAAGGCTCTCAAGAAGCTGGTGGTGTGGGATGCACTGATGCTGCAGCACCTTTCCTTTCCAAAAGGTTTGGCCAGCATTCCATTGCTTTGGTCAGCCAGCTTGGTGTTTGCTTCAATGATTTCTGCTTTCTTCACAGCATCAAAAGGCAGCTCAACACAAACAGGCTCTCTGATTTTGTTGATGTCCCAACCAACTGCACAAATAGCTTGTCCTTTTGCAGCAACATCGAACCCATTCACCATTTGTCCTCCCCTGTTGCATGGATGCACTAGAAGGTCCCTGGGTCTAAGCTTGGCAATGTAAGCAAGGCCAACTTCCTTCAAAATTGCCATGGCCCTGGAAGCCTTTTGGTTAATGGGCACATGCACTTCGCCCACCAACTGCTTCAGCTGCTCCACCCAAGAAGAAGCAGCCATGGCTCAGTGCTCTCAAGAAAGTGTTCTTTTTGGATTGCTCTTTCCTGTCATTCATTTTCTTTGGATTGCCACCCCCAAGCAGTCATCATGCTTTGTCATGCTCTGTTACTTGTGCATTACCAAGGCCAAACCATTTGAATTCACTTGGCTTGGGCCACTCAAGCAATGTGTAAGTCATCAATGCCTTCCTGTTTCAAGACATGGTTGGCTGGCAATAGCCTGTATTGGCTTGAAGTTGGAGCCTGTATTGGCTTGAAGTTGGAGCCTATGCGGGCTTGAAGTTGGAGCCTGTGTGGGCTTGAAGTTGGAGCCTGTACGGGCTTGAAGTTGGAGCCTGTGTTGGCTTCAAGTTGGGGCTTTGACAGCAGCAGGCACATGCATGCCAAACCACTTTGATATTTGAAGCCAGTACAGGCTGATGTTTTAGTTCATGAAACACACAAAAGCAAAAAACATGAAATGCTTTTTCTACAGGTATGGGAATGTGACAAAAACAAAGCAGCCAATAATTTCAACAAACAGTATGCACCCTAAATGTGTTTTTTCCTTCTTGCTCCTACTTTCGTTTAGCATTTGAAAACATTTGTTTGGATTCTTAAAAATAACTAACTGCCATAATTTCATTAAAATTTTAAAGACGTTATGAGCAATAGCATAAAAGTTAGCAAAAGGTACATAATACCCAAAACACGAGCAATTTTTTAAAGCAGTTACATGCATTATAACATGTTATAACTGGTTATAACAAGTTACGAGTGGTTTACTAAGAAGTTAAGAACGAATTAGTTAAGTTTCTAATGCTCCTAACTGATAAGCAAAACACCAGAACATCTAAGTACGTTGTACGATCTTTTCTCGCACCTGCACACACTTGGGCCGCTACGTTGTAAGATCTTCTCTTGCACTTGCACACATCTGCGCTGCTACGCTGTACGATTTTCTCTCGCACCTGCACACACTTGGGCCGCTCCGTTGTAAGATCTTCTCTTGCACTTGCACACGTCTGCGCTGCTACGTTGTACGATTTTCTCTCGCACCTGCACACACTTGGGCCGCTCCGTTGTAAGATCTTCTCTTGCACTTGCACACATCTGCGCTGCTACGTTGTACGATCTTCTCTCGCACCTGCACGCACTTGGGCCGCTACGTTGTAAGATCTTCTCTCGCACTTGCACACATCTGCGCTGCTACGTTGTACGATTTTCTCTCGCACCTGCACACACTTGGGCCGCTACGTTGTAAGATCTTCTCTTGCACTTGCACACGTCTGCGCTGCTACGTTGTACGATTTTCTCTCGCACCTGCACACACTTGGGTCGCTACGTTGTAAGATCTTCTCTTGCACTTGCACACATCTGCGCTGCTACGTTGTACGATCTTCTGTCGCACCTGCACACACTTGGGCCGCTACGTTGTAAGATCTTCTCTTGCACTTGCACACATCTGCGCTGCTACGTTGTACGATCTTCTCTCGCACCTGCACACACTTGGGCCGCTACGTTGTAAGATCTTCTCTTGCACTTGCACACATCTGCGCTGCTACGTTGTACGATCTTTTCTCGCACCTGCACACACTTGGGTCGCTACGTTGTAAGATCTTCTCTTGCACTTGCACACATCTGCGCTGCTACGTTGTACGATCTTTTCTCGCACCTGCACACACTTGGGTCGCTACGTTGTAAGATCTTCTCTTGCACTTGCACACATCTGCGCTGCTACGTTGTACGATTTTCTCTCGCACCTGCACACACTTGGGCCGCTACGTTGTAAGATCTTCTCTTGCACTTGCACACATCTGCGCTGCTACGTTGTACGATCTTCTCTCGCACCTGCACACACTTGGGCCGCTACGTTGTAAGATCTTCGTTGCACTTGCACACATCTGCGCTGCTACGTTGTACGATCTTTCCTCGCACCTGCACACACTTGGGCCGCTATGTTGTAAGATCTTCTCTTGCACTTGCACACATCTGCGCTGCTACGTTGTACGATTTTCTCTCGCACCTGCACACACTTGGGCCGCTACGTTGTAAGATCTTCTCTTGCACTTGCACACGTCTGCGCTGCTACGTTGTACGATTTTCTCTCGCACCTGCACACACTTGGGTCGCTACGTTGTAAGATCTTCTCTTGCACTTGCACACATCTGCGCTGCTACGTTGTACGATCTTCTGTCGCACCTGCACACACTTGGGCCGCTACGTTGTAAGATCTTCTCTTGCACTTGCACACATCTGCGCTGCTACGTTGTACGATCTTCTCTCGCACCTGCACACACTTGGGCCGCTACGTTGTAAGATCTTCTCTTGCACTTGCACACATCTGCGCTGCTACGTTGTACGATCTTTTCTCGCACCTGCACACACTTGGGTCGCTACGTTGTAAGATCTTCTCTTGCACTTGCACACATCTGCGCTGCTACGTTGTACGATTTTCTCTCGCACCTGCACACACTTGGGCCGCTCCGTTGTAAGATCTTCTCTTGCACTGGGAACTTGGTGACAGAGATCCCCTGAAAGAAACGGGAGAATCTCTGGCGAAACTCTGAGGCACAAAAAAGGTTTGAGAATATCCGACGCGTTTTGGAGCACAAAACCGTGCCATGGTTACCACCATTAAAATTTTGAAAATCCGACAGAATTGACACGGCATTGTGGCGCAGCAACGGTTTTTCCAAAATCGGGGGGGCGGCGAAACCTCGCCGGCATGTTAATGTTAAGTGAAGGCATGTCAAACTGATGGGGTACTGGTACAATGATTAAAGCAATGTCATAAACCACCCATTTGATGGTTTATAGTATATAGCACCCATTGATGGTTAAATGATGGTTTATTTCCCTGGGGATCCAAAGTATGGACTATTTGCATGCATTTGGGCATGCACGTTCTCAGAGCGTCCGACCATGCTATTTGCGGTCTGACCATGGTTTTTGCATGCATTTCCGACGACTGTTTATTTTCCGACTGATTTCCGATAAATTCCGACAATTTGTAGGGAATAGCCGCTGGCCTTATCACGGTTTGTCACGGTCTGTCACGGCATTTTCCGACAATGCCCAAAATTTGAGTATAGTTTTTTGTTTTCTATCACGGTTTGTCACTGCTTGTCACAGTTTGTCACGCAACTGTTAGATACTGTTAGGCACTTTGAAACCAATAACACTCCTTTCCGATAAAGTACAATCTCCGACTGTCACATTTCGACAATGCATGCGTTTTTGCAATCATCAGAAATGACTTCATTGTTTGCATGCACGTCTGATTTGGCCCTATTTATGCGCATGGATCCTCAGGGTTTTGTCTTTACCAACACTACACCCAACATATCTCTGTTTTCATGGGAAACTTGAAACAAATGAAAAAAACATGACAAACGGATGGATTTAAGGATACCCAATTTTCAGTCAAACCCAGTTAGAAATTGGTAAATATTGGATGTTGTTGGATGATTTTTGATTAAACGCATCGATGATAGGTCAAGTATTTCAACGAACATTTGGTGAATGCATGTTAAGTATTGTTAAGTCAGTTACGTGTTTTGTTGTTGTTTGGATGGTTGTTACTATAAATTTTGGGTTGGTTTGGATGATATTCTGCTCATGTTGCTGAAGGTGCCCTTCGGAAGTCCCACGTGCAGCGCGTGCAAAGAAGTGCAGGAATTGTTTCCTGGGCTGCGCTGTGAGGTCTGTGCGGCGGAGGATGCCGTGGCGTTGAAGGGGTTGAGCCGTGGCTGAAGGGCGGAGTTTTTCGCCGAGGATTTTGATTTCCGCCACCAAAATAGAGCACGATTGATGTTCAGAGGATCTATGTAAATAGGGCACAATTCTGTTGGCTTGCGTGCTTAAGCAAAAAATTGCAAGGAACCCGTGTAAATGCGTTAAATGTGTGTTTTCAGCATCAAACTATGGGGAAATCCATGTTTGTAGTGGTTTCATGGGGAAACAAACCATCATGTCAAATGTGATTTTTTCAGCTGTCAAAAAAACCACGCTGTGGTCTGTTCTGTTTCCCTTCATGCGGGATTCATGGCGTAGCTGAGGCGCCTTCTCCAAGAGAAGACCTCCAGCATGCTCTGCCAGAAGACGGCCACGGCCTTTGCAGAAGGAGATGCCGATGCCAGGCACTGCGGGATGATTTGGGTCTGGGAATGGGTCAAAACATGTCAAAACCTTTCAGAGATGCCCCAAAAAGATGCAATATAGGTTGAACCTAAAAAGTGATAGATATGAATTACCTCATACTTTCCACTTGTTCAATTTAATCTATCCATCTAATATTTTGGGGTTGCTAGCGATGGCAAATGCATACGTGAGATGCTTGGGTTTCATGTTTTTGTTCGAGGGCCAGGATGTTGGGATGGGAAAAGTGTCAAGCACTCACAAGTTGGGTATGTGTCATTCCGCGCACTGCTACCGGGCCGGGTAAACAGCAAAACAGCTGCTAAATTAAATGCCTGTTCACCCCCCAAAGATGGTCCCAGTATATTGAACCCATCCAGATGTTAGAGTTAAACTGTACCAGCTTATAAGCCTTATATCCTTTTTAATTATAGTTTTTTCCATCTATTGGTTCTATTGTTATACCAGGCTAAACCGGGTAAACCCTCCATTTTTGCTGATTCGATCCTCAGACGGCTGCTGGAGAGCATCCACCACGCCCACGCCACCGGATCCACTGAGCTGATTTTGGTGCGGCAGCCTCCACCGTGCCGCTGGGATGCAGCGGTGGTTGGCCCCTTCAGACATCTTGGTTTGGTGTTGGAATCTGCTGGATGTTTTCACATGAGCTCCGAAGTGTTTGCCAATTAGGAAGATGGAGTTGAAAGCCCATATGTTCCCACAATTGGGCATCATTCCATGGTGTCAATTCAGGATTGCAAACTATTGAATTCTTTTCTTGCGCCCGGTACCTTGTGGCCTACTTATGTGATTTGTTGCTGGCTTCGACCAATTCTGGTGGAAAAAACCCATAGTTTTCTCACAGTTACCCTTTGCTGAGGCGTAGAAATCGGCACTGGAACCATGTCTCTGCTTTGCGATGTGATCAGCTTCAGCGAGCCTTCCAGTGCCCGTGGCTTGGCTGAGGCCATCATACCTTCTTGGCCACAACTCAAGAACATCTTAGCCTTTGCAGGTGAAGGGTCCTATGGAAAATAGTAAATAGTATAAATAGTCAACAACATGTCAACTTATCCAAAACTTACAATTTACAATGCGTTTTCGTAGCAGTCCCCAGTCTTGGCAGAACTCTTTGGATCTTCACCAGTTTGTTTACATTCCAAGTCCCCTTTGTGGCCTCAGGACGTGTCCAGTACAGCTGGCACAAGGACGGCCAGCCGCTGCCCCGCGCCGGGCTGCCGCGCTTGGTGTTGAGCGGCGCCAGTGATGCCGAAGGAAGCTACACCTGCGTGGTGACGGCTGGGGAGGATGCGTGGCCAACGGGTTGGGGGCATGGATGTGGGATGGAGGTTGTTGGGATGACTGAAGTTACCTGGTAACTGGTTTGTAAATGGCTTCTGACGTGATATGATGACTGATTGTATGTGGGGACTATAACCTCCTGGAACTTGTGGGATATTGGATGATATTGGGATCTACTGCAATCAAGGGAATTTGGGAGTTAATGACCTAAACTATCCCAAACTACCATGACCTACTTGCCAACTTGAAAATTATCCCACTGGAGCACAAGGGTTGACAATTCATGTGCAAAGCTGAACCCTTCTCCCCTCCTTCCGTGAGCTCCGATGAAACAACTAGAACCCGGTCAATAACTACTCCAGATATCCGTATGTATGATCGTATGTATATCAAATTCGTTGATCCTATACTCAGCCCATAGCATCCCAAATTCCAAGAGGATACTAATCCCATTTACCCCCTGGTAAACTAACATAGCTATTGAAAATGGCCATTTATAGTGGATTTTCCCATTAAAAATGGTTATTTTCCATAGCTATGTTAAATTACCAGAGGGTATCACTCTGGCCTCCCAAATCAGGGACCATCCGAAACACCGAGCTGCCACCGGCTTCCCAAGGACTCCATCACCACGCGCAGCTGTGAAGTTCGCCTCAGTGCCGAGGCCAAGGAACGGTTGTTGCAAAAGGCGCAGCAACGGCAGAGAGCCTTTGCTGAATTTTGTGAATACCAACTGCCAACCTTTACAAAATACCAATCTTGGTATATAAGTATGTATATATATATATATATTATATATATATATACATTAACTATTATCATTATTAATATTAATAATATTATAATATTATTATTATAAACAGTATAACTGTGTACTATGTATCAAGCTTTGTTACATATTTGTACATCCTGTGTTGAATATAGCAGTCTTAACCTCGGATTTGTAAAGCCGTAGTTGGTTGGTGAATACCCTTTTTGTCACTGATTGGGGATAATCCCCTAGCCAGCCTGGGTTACTGATGCGGCACCCATGAATCCAAAACTTATTTTATCCTTGTTTTCAAAAGATTTCAATATGTACCGATTTGTTTGCAACAAAAGGGGGCTTGAACACATGAAAGAACAACACACATATAGCGACGGACAATCACTTAGAACGTATTTTGGATTTTTTTCTGAATATTTCACGCTTTTTGGACGTTCTAAGTGATTATTCGTCTACGTTCTAAGCACCCCACTTAGAACGTTCAAATATCAAGATTCATCACTTAGAACGTACCGGGGAATTTAACACTTAGAACGTGTCTAAATCAATGATGATAGTGGAAAGGCTTGTGAAATCTTTTATCTCTAAGTGTTGGATTCAGCAGCTAATTCCGTAGGAAACATAGACATAATTTCGTACCATTTGGCTTTTCCCTCCTATATGATTTGCAAATATTGGCGATCTTTTATCTCTGGAACACTATACCTTTTGGATCCTTTTGGTGCTTTTTGGGGGTTCTGACGTTCTAAGTGTTGGATTCAGCAGCTATTTCCGTAGGAAACATAGACATAATTTCGTACCATTTGGCTTTTCTGTCCCATATGTTTTGCAAATATTGGCGATCTTTTATCTCTGGAACACTATACCTTTTGGATCCTTTTGGTGCTTTTTGGGGTTCTGACGTTCTAAGTGTTGGATTCAGCAGCTAATTCCGTAGGAAACATAGACATAATTTCGTACCATTTGGCTTTTCCCTCCCATATGATTTGCAAATATTGGCGATCTTTTATCTCTGGAACACTATACCTTTTGGTGGTGCTTTTTGGGGGTTCTGACGTTCTAAGTGTTGGATTCAGCAGCTAATTCCGTAGGAAACATAGACATAATTTCGTACCATTTGGCTTTTCCCTCCCATATGATTTGCAAATATTGGCGATCTTTTACCTCTGGAACACTATACCTTTTGGATCCTTGTGGTGCTTTTTGGTGGTTCTTACGTTCTAAGTGTTGGATTTAGCAGCTAATTCCGTAGGAAACATAGACATAATTTCGTACCATTTGGCTTTTCCCTCCTATATGATTCGACATTGGCGATCTTTTATCTCTGGAACACTATACCTTTTGGATCCTTTTGGTGTTTTTTGGGGGTTCTGACGTTCTAAGTATTGGATGCAGCAGCTAATTCCGTAGGAAACATAGACATAATTTCGTACCATTTGGCTTTTCCCTCCCATATGATTTGCAAATATTGGCGATCTTTTACCTCTGGAACACTATACCTTTTGGATCCTTGTGGTGCTTTTTGGTGGTTCTGACGTTCTAAGTGTTGGATTCAGCAGCTAATTCCGTAGGAAACATAGACATAATTTCGTACCATTTGGCTTTCCCTCCCATATGATTTGTAAATATTGGCGATTTTTTATCTCTGGAACACTATACCTTTTGGTGCTTTTTGGGGGTTCTGACGTTCGAAGTGTTGGATTGGTTCAGCAGCTAATTCCGTAGGAAACATAGACATAATTTCGTACCATTTGGCTTTTCCCTCCTATATATGATTTGACATTGGCGATCTTTTATCTCTGGAACACTATACCTTTTGGATCCTTTTGGTGCTTTTTGGGGGTTCTGACGTTCTAAGTGTTGGATTCAGCAGCTAATTCCGCAGGAAACATAGACATAATTGCGTACCATTTGGCTTTTCCCTCCCATATGATTTGCAAACATTGGCGATCTTTCATCTCTGGAACACTATACCTTTTGGATCCTTTTGGTGCTTTTTGGGGGTTCTGACGTTCTAAGTGGTGGATTCAGCAGCTAATTCCGTAGGAAACATAGACATAATTTCGTACCATTTGGCTTTTCCCTCCTATATGATTTGACATTGGCGATCTTTTATCTCTGGAACACTATACCTTTTGGATCCTTTTGGTGCTTTTTGGGGGTTCTGTCGTTCTAAGTGTTGGATTCAGCAGCTATTCCGTAGGAAACATAGACATAATTTCGTACCATTTGGCTTTTCCCTCCTATATGATTTGCAAATATTGGCGATCTTTTATCTCTGGAACACTATACCTTTTGGTGCTTTTTGGGGGTTCTGACGTTCTAAGTGTTGGATTCAGCAGCTAATTCCGTAGGAAACATAGACATAATTTCGTACCATTTGGCTTTTCCCTCCTATATGATTTGCAAACATTGGCGATCTTTTATCTCTGGAACACTATACCTTTTGGTGCTTTTTGGGGGTTCTGACGTTCTAAGTGTTGGATTCAGCAGCTAATTCCGTAGGAAACATAGACATAATTTCGTACCATTTGGCTTTTCCCTCCCATATGATTTGCAAATATTGTCGATCTTTTATCTCTGGAACGCTATACCTTTTGGATCCTTTTGCTTTTTGGGGTTCTGACGTTCCAAGTGTTGGATTTAGCAGCTAATTCCGTAGGAAACATAGACATAATTTCGTACCATTTGGCTTTTCCCTCCTATATGATTCGACATTGGCGATCTTTTATCTCTGGAACACTATACCTTTTGGATCCTTTTGGTGTTTTTTGGGGGTTCTGACGTTCTAAGTGTTGGATTCAGCAGCTAATTCCGTAGGAGACATAGACATAATTTCGTACCATTTGGCTTTTTCCTCCTATATGATTTGACATTGGCGATCTTTTCTCTCTGGAACACTATACCTTTTGGATCCTTTTGGTGCTTTTTGGGGGTTCTGTCGTTCTAAGTGTTGGATTCAGCAGCTAATTCCGAGGAAACATAGACATAATTTCGTACCATTTGGCTTTTCCCTTGCATATAATTTGCAAATATTGGCGTTCTTTATTTCTGGAACACTATACTATACCTTTTGGATCCTTTTGGGGGTTCTGACGTTCTAAGTGTTGGATTCAGCAGCTAATTCCGTAGGAAACATAGACACAATTTCGTACCATTGAGCTTTTCCCTCCTATATGATTTGCAAATATTGGCGATCTTTTATCTCTGGAACACTATACCTTTTGGATCCTTTTGGTGCTTTTTGGTGGTTCTGACGTTCTAAGTGTTGGATTCAGCAGCTAATTCCGTAGGAAACATAGACATAATTTCGATTCCATTTCCAAATCTTATTTTTTCTGCATCATTTTAATTGCGTTATAAAAGGAAATTCAATTGATTCCGAAAGCGAAAAACTAGTTTTTTTTAATCAAGGTTTTAAATTTATTATAAGGGTCCGCTTCGGAATCCAATTTTTGGCAATATTTTAATTGTGTTATATAAGGAAATTTAACTGATTTTGAAATCGAAAAAAATAGTTTTTCTTATTAAAGGTTTAAATTTATTATTTTGGTCCGCATCGAAATCCAATTTGTGGCAATATTTGAATTGCGTTATATAAGCAAATTTAATTGATTTTGAATCGAAAAAAAATGTTTTATTAAGGGTTTAAATTTATTAGGGTCCGCTTCGAAATCTAATTTTCGGCAATATTCTAATTGCGTTATAAAAGGAATTTTAATTGATTTTGAATCGAAAAAACTTGTTGTTTTAATAAGGGTTTAAATTTATTATTAGGGTCCGCTTCGAAATCCAATTTTTGGCAATATTTTAATTGCGTTATATAAGGAAATTTAACTGATTTTGAAATCGAAAAAAATAGTCTTTCTTATTCAGGGTTTAAATTTATATAAATTTATTATTAGGGTCCGCTTCGAAATCCGATTTTTGGCAATATTTTTAATTGCGTTATATAAGGAAATTTAATTGATTTTGAAATCGAAAAAATAGTTTATATAGCGACGGACAATCACTTAGCAGGTTCTAAGTGTTGGTTTTACGTTCTAAGTGTTGAATTGGCCTCCCTACGTTCTAAGTGATGGTTTTACGTTCTAAGTGATGAAATTTTGCCTACGTTCTAAGTGTTGATTTCGTGCCACGTTCTAAGTGCAAAAAACAATTTTTGGAAAAAAAAAATACGTTCTAAGTGATTGTCCGTCACTATATATGATTTACCATGATTTACCTTCATCTTGGAAGGTGGACCGCTCTTGATTTGATGACGAACTTGTCAATATCAACACTTCACCCTTCCAACATGTTTTCATCAAAACATCAACCAAAGAAAACATCTGCAATTCAATTCCCCATCAAGAATCATTCAAAAAATGCAAAAAAACAGTTTCCTATTCAAATATATATATTATATATATAAACATCATAAAACTTCACGTACATCAAGGGAACCCACCCAGGGAACTCCTCTTCCGCCTGAGGATTCGAATCACCCCTGCGCCGCGCCGCGGGTGCGGTGCAGATGGGCGACCTGGCGCGGGCCATTCAGCTGCTGACGGAGGTGGGTTGGCGACCTCCCAATGCATGGAGGTTTTCAGTTTAGAACCTGAACCCAAACCAGGAGTTAGGGGGGTTTAGTGGAGCTTACTGTTTTTTTTAATGTGCATGTTAATTCATGTCATTGCCAATTCATTGTGAAATTGATGGATATGTTCTTGTCATCTTCGTGTTGGGGCATCCAGTAGTTTTTTGACTCCTTTCTTGCCATGTGAGGGACGTTTCCCAGCTGTCTCCCCTGTTCGAAGGCCATTCAGGCGGCCACAGATGATGAGGCTCGCGGCTAGCAGCACGACAACAATAATGCCAACACCGGATTAATAAACCCCCCCCCCAGAAGGTAGGGAGGTACCTTCTGACTGGTTTTCTTGATCGCCCCTTAATAATAAGCAACTCTGAACCATAAAACTTTGGATATGGCTTACGTCAATTAGATCTTAATAGAATTCCATTGGATTTGTTAAAATTTCATGGATCAGAAAGGTGGTTGATTAATCAGGGGCAAACCATGGTTATTATTACTGGGGGACATGGGCTCATGGGGGGTACCCTTTGGGAGCTATCCAAACTGATGTTTTTTATAAATATTTTAATTAGAAATCGATCATTTGGGGAATAGTTGTTTTTTGAAATTTTCAATGATCAACTTAAACCTGAAGTATAACAATGATGATTAAAAAAAAGGTAAAAAACAATTGGAAATAAATAGAATTGGAAATAAAAAATGTTGGATAAAAAATTGGATTTCAGCACTGGTGGTTGATTAATCGGGGGTAGGCCCACCGGTTTATTAATCTCGGGGGACCACCTGTTTTTAAATTACATTTTTTTTTTGGGGCAATGGTGGTTGATTAATCGGGAGGGGATTATTAATCCTCACTTGACATTACTACCATAGAGAAAATGACCAGAACCTTCATTCTATGAAATTAAATTTTCTGCTTGAACGCTTGGACACAGGTCGCTTCTTCTGTTTTGGGCTTGGGGCTTCCACTACCAGGCGGTCCGAGCGGAGGCCTTGTGCCAACGCGCCGAGCTGCGCGTGCGGCGCGGGCAGTGGCAGGAGAACAACCGGATAATGAGTTGATGGTATGGATTAATATATATATCTCATACTTATAATTTTCCATCTCTCCATCCAACCATCCATCTGGATGGACAGGTAGATAGACAGACAGATAGATAGATAAGTTAGTAAGTAAGTAAGTTAGTTAGTCAGTCAGTGAGTTAGTTAGATAGATAGCTAGATAGATAGGAATGGTCATATAGTATGCATATGTAATAGGTGTAGGGCCATTCATTAAATCCATAGTTCATGGGTATAACTACTGAGTTGTAATGTTGTTGAGGGTCTATTAGTGGGGGTGTAATCCCATAACATCCCACAACCATTATGCTGGATAGGGTCGCCACCAGGAGGCGTTTCAGGATGCGGTCGACGCCTTAAAGCTGCAGCCCAGCTTAGCCAGGGCGCACGCGGCGCGAGGTGCCCAAGATGGGAATGTCATGGGGAAGTTGGGCTATGGCTATGGGAACTGCAGAAAGGTGGGGACCCAACAAACGAACAGACATGGGAATGTATCAATTGCATTCATTTACAATGAAACATCAACAATGTTGAAATGGGAGTTAGACATTAAGCTTCATTGACATTGAAATGAGAGTTAGACATCAAAGATATGTTTTCAGAACATATGAAGTCAGTGGTACCATGGTGTCCTCCCCCGCGTGCCACAGGTGCGGCTGCTGAGGAGCTTGGCTTTTTGGCAGAGGCCGGGAGGTTTGACTGCAGGCCATTTGTCAAGGCGCTGATACCCTGAGGTGAGCTCCAAAATACCTGGTAAAATTAATCGGGTAAATGGATGTAGATGGGTGCTGACATCGTCACACCCACCTCACAGCCCACCTCACAACTGTATGTTCCCCTCTTCGCTATAAGTTGTTTCAACTTGAAACCATTTGATTCAAACCCCAGAAATATGGGCAGTCAGACTGCTAGAGAAAAACACAAGTTACAGTACTTGAGCATTTCATTGGCAGGGGACCACTCTTGTATAGAACTCTAGACTCTATACATGTGACTGCAATGATGAGATGGGTGAATCATGCAGTGGAATTAGCATGGCCTCGAGGCCTACAAGGGAACACCCTCAGTATCCATGCACCATATTTGTTCTGTCAATGCTCCAGCCAAAGATCAAATCTCTCCTAAAGGTTGTTGGCCTTACCACCTCACCTCACCAACCATTTCCATCCCAACTTCCCATTGCACTTCCACTCTTCAGCCATTTCTCTCACAGAAGCCACCCCTCCATCGCCATGGTTTCCCGTTCCCTTCACCGTCGCCGCCTCGGTGCCCTGCTGCTGTGCCTTGCGCTGAGCTACCGCCGATGGCTCTGGACCCAGGTCCTCGGGCCACGCCCGGCCGCGACGCCGCTGGCACCGGCGGAGGTGGCGCGGATCCATGCGGCGGTGCGCAGCAGGGCCCTGGAGGCCATTGCGGAGAGGAAGCTGCGGCCGGGGCAGGAGCTGGAGCTGATTTCCGCATTGGACTTGGAAACAGTGCCATGGAGTGGCTTGGTTTGAAGGAGGCGTTGTGCTATGTTGTGATGTTTCCCTGCCAGACACGTAGAAAAGGACATCTTGACGAGATGGCATCACCTGATGTTGATGAAATGCCTAAAAATCTAAGTGGAATCTTCATCGAATCCTGAAACATGCAGAGAAGTTGTTTGGAAGAGGAGTTTGTGGCACTTGAAACGCTCTTTGTTTGGTTGATGTTGCATCTCATGGTTCCAAGCTAGCACAACTTGAGGCCAACTACCTGCTTGCTTCAAGGAGTTTGGTGAAGTTTTTGTGTGTTTTGTTTGGCGTTCCCCCATTTATATATAATTACCTATATATATATATATATAAATATGTTCGTATCCCCATATATAGGTGGTGATAGAGAGAGAGAGAGTGTGTGTGTGTGAGAGATTGTATGCCCATTTGTCTTTGTGTTGATTCCATCCCCATCAGTGTTTGCTATCATCCCCTGTATTTGGGTTCTCTCTCCATTTCCATTCGTTAAAGCACCATTTTGGTGGCTAATCTCACCATTTGTTCACTACCCGTGGAGGACTTCTGGGGCTTGCCCGGGGCAGACCGCGGCATTGATTCCCTCGCACTGAATCTCAGCACGGCTGTGCAGGCGAAGGATTACCAGGACTATGTGCCATTGGAACGCCTGGCCACGTTGCTGGGGTATTTGATGAAGGGATAAGATCACTAGATTGAGTTGGTTTCAGTGCGTTCAAACATCAGTGATCATCAGTGTTTATTTTCAACCCTACCTGCCATCGCAATTTTGGCTGTTGTTCTGTTCTCCCCCAGCCTTCAGCACATCCATACTTTTCCACGCACATTTCTGCATTACCATCATCCATTGAGGTTCCACTACTTGGTGCGTTCCGAGGGGTCGCCCTTGAAGGATCGGGTCCAGCAGATGGTGGTGGCCACCAACGAGAGCACGCGGCTGCCGCAGGACTGGCAATGGAGCGGAGCAAAGCACCGGCGCTACACGCAAGATGAGATCGAGAGGTGGGAAGTGGGTCCTTCCAAAGGGGTCTGAAAAGTGTCGTATCCAAGAGTCTTTGCGATGCATGGCTATAACTGAGCTGTAAACCATTCTTTTTGGATTGCAAGTTTGGAAGGCCGCCCGGGTACTTGGATGAGCCTGGAAGTTAGCAATAGATTGATTGGTTACAGCTTAAACCCCCTTAATGTTGGATACTGATTAGTGTAGGGCCCCCCAAACAAATTTAGTCTACTCAATAACTCGGCATTTTCTTGGGTACCAGGTCTGGGGAACTCAGGATGATCAACGTAAGGATTTCAATTCATTTGAATATACTCTCAATATCTTTCAATTGATTTTCCATTTAAATAGGGTACCATCCAAAACAATTACTTTATTGAGGATCTGGGTCACTCATGGGGTACCCCCTTGAAAAATTATTTGGGTGCTGTTTTTGAATAAAGGTTTAAGAAGCCATCGAATTATTTGGGGAACCTTGCATTTTCAAGGCTTTAACATGGGTATGGCTTTCTAAAGTAAATGGACCAACTTTACCCAAAGAAAGGTGTATAAAAGTGGATAAAGCTCCTTCTGAAAAAAATGGATCTGAGAAAAAACAACTCACAATAGAGGCCCATCCGCACCATTTGCATGATACCCAATAATTTTTGAAAAAACTCACAATAGGGTCCCATGACACCAATCGGTATCCAACATTACAAGTGGGGTATGGCTTGCGCTCTGCACATCCGATCGCTCCAAACGCTGCAGGTGGCGAGAGCTTGCAAGAAACGAGTCGGCCAAAGATGTGCCGACGGAACTTGCGAAAAAGGACATGGTAGAATCATTTTAGGTATGTGACGGGTATGGGCGGCGCTATTTTTTGGGGGATGAAACTCAACAATAACAAATGTAAGTTATTTTGATGTCCACCAGGAAACTAGCATTTGATAGCCCCCCAAAGACCCCGGGAAGCACACAGTTGTCAATCATCCATTCTTCCGGGTGCCTAAGTTTGACCCAGATTTTGAAATGCATTCTTAATTGCAGGTAGATGCTGATCATATTATGTCCCCATCATTCATTGGTTGTCATTGGCTTTCTAACAAGGCTTTCTTTGTGTCTATCATTAAATCTAATTAATAATGGTTTGCTCTGAGGTGCACATGGTTCAACACAACCCTTTTTAATCCAAATTACTCCATACATTACTTTATACCTGACTACCCGAACAAGGCCATTGAAAACTGGCAAGATTTAATGATTTTAGCGCATTTAGGGTCCCCATTCTTGACCCATCCTTGCACCTGCATGGGTTCAGGACCTGAAGCGCTGGCCTCATCAACTCGCCTGCCTTGCTCAATGCCAGAAATTTCTGACCAACTCCTCCAAGAGGGACATTGAGTGCCGATTCTTACATCAAACCCTTGGGGTGATTACCCATATTCGTCTTTGGGAGCAGTATTAATGGCAAGAAAGCAGTGCTACTATTTCAACATGGAATGTGGTAAAACATGGTAAAATGTAAAACCATACTGTGCGGAATGTAATTGCCCCAATTGAGCGGCCAGTTTGGCAATTGGTTTGCAGCCACCACCTAGAGCAGGACTTCTTTGTTGAAATGGCCACTGGCACTGGGAAGAGCCTGGTGATGGCAGACGTGTTGGCTGGCTCGGGCCCCGGGAAGGCATGCATCATCGTCCCAAAGTTGGATCTGATGGAGCAACTGGCTGATTTGCTGAAAGAGATGTTGCCATTTCGAATCTCCCGCATGGGCACAGGATACCCTGTGGACTTGTCGGCTCAGCTGTTTGTTTGTGTGAGAAACTCCGCCTGGCAGCTGCAGAATTTGACCTTTGAGCTGCAGATTTCGGATGAGGCCCATCACTATGAACCCACTTCAGTGGGTGCTGCGGGAAATGAGACTGTAGATGGTGTGCATGCGATGCAAGTGCTGGGGTTGAATGCCAGGAAACGGATCTTCTTCAGCGCGACCCTGCTGAGAAACAAACCTGACTTCGAGTTTGGCCTCCGTCCTGCCATTAAGGCTAGAATCATCAGCGACTACACTGTGATGGTGCCAATTCTCACTGCAGGCGACCCAAGGCCTGGGTTGGTGGAGCTTATTCAAGACCTCCCGATGTCAAGGAAGGTCCTTGCATTCTGCAACACTGTCGATGAGGCAAGACATTTCACAGGGCTCCTGAACAGCAACGGCATCGCTTCAGATCATTACAATGGCCACACTTCCAAAGCACATCGTCAGAAGATCTTGCAGAGCTTTGGTCGGAGCCCAACACGCGGAGGGATTCGGGTTCTCGTCACAGTGGATGTCCTGAGTGAAGGGGTTGACCTGCCATGTGCAGACACCTGCCTCTTTGTTGCACCAAGACATGCGGTGCGCCTTCGTCAGTGCGTGGGAAGGGTCTTGCGGCAGCATCCTAGCAAGATCGATGCCCTCGTAATTGCACCTCCACTGGTGCAGGATGTAAATGGGACGGCATTGGTTCAAGACATGGAGCTAGGGCGATTGCTCATGGAGCTGGCACAAGCTGATCCGCTTTTGAGAACACGTATGCTTCAAAACCTTGAGGATGCAACTCTCAATTCGAGGATTTGTGTGCATGGCGGAAGCCGGCAAAGCGGCAACCATGACATTGTTGAAAAAGCAGCCCGCCTTTTGCATTTTCACGTTTTTACATCTGTTCTCACTACTCTTTCCATGGGCTGGGAGCTGGCCTTCAGCAAATTGGCTGAATATAAGTCTGAGTATGGAGATGTGCTTGTTGCCACGGACTTTGTGACCGTTGATGGCTTGAAACTCGGCCTTTGGGTCAGAAATCAGCGCTATACCAAAGCCAAGGGGAAATTGTTTCAAGAGCGAGAGGATCGCTTGAACACTCTTGGCATGGTTTGGGATCCGTTGGCTGACGCTTGGGAGCTGGCCTTCAGAAAATTGGCTGAATACAGGGCTGAAAATGGAGATGTGCTTGTCCCTAGGCACTTTGTGACCGCTGATGACCTTAAGCTTGGTTTTTGGGTCAAAACTCAGCGCCATAACAAAGCCAGGGGGAAGTTGCGCCAAGAGCGAGTGGACCGCTTGAATGCCCTTGGCATGCTTTGGAATCCGTTGGCTGACGCTTGGGAGCTGGCCTTCAGCAAACTGGTTGCATACAAGGCTCAGAATGAAGATGTGCTTGTCCCCGCGGATTTTGTGACCACTGATGATGACTTTAAACTTGGCATTTGGCTCAGCCATCAGCGCACGATCAAAGCCAAGGGGAGATTGTCTCAAGAGCGAGTGGCTCGCTTGAACGCTCTTGGCATGGTTTGGGATGTTTTGGCCGACGCTTGGGAGCTGGCCTTCAGCAAACTGGTTGCATACAAGGCTGATAATGGAGATGTGCTTGTCCCCCAAAACTTTGTGACCGCTGATGACTTTAAACTTGGTGTTTGGGTTGGTACCCAGCGAAAAAGCAAAGCAAAGGGGAAATTGTCTCAAGAGCGAGAGGATCGCTTGAACACTCTTGGCATGGTTTGGGATCCGTTGGCTGACGCTTGGGAGCTGGCCTTCAGCAAATTGGCTAAATACAAGTCTGAGAATGAAGATGTGCTTGTCCCCACGGACTTTGTGACCGTTGATGGCTTGAAACTTGGCCTTTGGGTCAGAAATCAGCGCTATACCAAAGCTAGGGAGAAATTGTTTCAAGAGCGAGAGGATCGCTTGAACACTCTTGGCATGGTTTGGGATCCGTTGGCTGACGCTTGGGAGCTGGCCTTCAGCAAATTGGCTAAATACAAGTCTGAGAATGAAGATGTGCTTGTCCCCACGGATTTTGTGACCGCTGATGACTTTAAACTTGGTTTTTGGGTTGGTACCCAGCGAAAAAACAAAGCAAAGGGGAAATTGTCTCAAGAGCGAGTGGTTCGCTTGAACACTCTTGGCATGGTTTGGGATCCGTTGGCTGACGCTTGGGAGCTGGCCTTCCGAAAATTGGCTGAATACAGGGCTGAAAATGGAGATGTGCTTGTCCCCCAAAACTTTGTGACCGCTGATGACCTTAAGCTTGGTTTTTGGGTCAAAACTCAGCGCCATAACAAAGCCAAGGGGAAATTGCGCCAAGAGCGAGCGGACCGCTTGAATGCCCTTGGCATGGTTTGGGCATGTCAGTGAAAACATGATGCCCAGTTGATGTGCAGATTAAGAACCTTTCATGTCTCGTTTGGCAGGGCAGCCATATGCAGCCATGATTGCAAAAGTCTAGTTATGGCAGGATATGGCAGGATTTTTCATCCAACTGTGCCAATTTGCATATTTGTTCTTCAGCAATCTTGTTTTTCAAGTTCTTTTGGGTGGGAACATCCTGCGCGAAAACAATACCAGCATCATCCAACATCGTCCAACATCTAAATGTGAAAACGCGTCTGGCAAAAGGAGCTGCCCTTCTGAAGCTGGAGGTCATTAATAACAGGTTCAAGCTAATTAGGTATGGTATATATGCTGAATATTTCTTATAAAAGTGACTTGACCCGCACCTATAATTGACTGATCGATTGACTTAGTTGATTGACTTGGAATGGCGTGACATGATTGGGAATCAATCCTCGAACTGTGGAGGCTGCCAGCTCATGGGAAGCAGCTGAGCTGCTGGGTGGCGTGCCATCGGCTGCTCAGCGGGCAGAGGCACATGTGGTGGGATGGATCTCGGTCAAGTGTTGGAAAGACTAGGGCATTCACAGTTTTTTGGATCTAGTTACGTGATTTGTGTATATATCATATTGGCCACTCATTTGGCCGGAACTGCTGTTTATAGATGTTATAGCGGGGAATAGAATGGTTTGCTTTGTTTTGTGACATTTGTTTTGAGGGATTACGAAGTTGTTTTTCCATGTTTTTCCCAGATGTTTTGCTACATAGGACTTCATCAGGCAGAGAAACAAACCAGACCATACCACTAATCCTTTCACTAACTCAGACATCTGACTCATTCACATTATCACCTTTCTTGTTTTGGTTGCCTTTCAGCGGTTTGGGCAGCCCTTTGTTTATGTTCGCCAGGGCTAGGCTGTCCCGGTCAATGGCCATCAAGCTGGGCCGGAGGCATGCCGACAGAAGTTGCAGCAGTTCTTCATGGAGCAACAAGCCAAGAGAGGCACAAAACCAGGTGCCAGGGATATCGGTGGCTGATGACATACTTATCACAACAAAGGCCGTCATCATGATTAAACATTGGTGAAACATTGATTAAAAACATTGGTCAAACATTGATTAAAGAGCATTAATCATCATCATCAGCAGCAGCAGCAGCAGTCATGACAGGACACCTTTTTGTTTTTTCTCCCACACGCCTTGGATGTCTTTGCGGGCTCAGGTGGCGCAGGAGACGACCCGGAGGACAGATGGCGCCGAGCCCTGGCTGTATCATGGCATGGGAAGACTTCTTTTTTGAAGGGACACATAATGTGCAAATGAAGGTAAATGTAGTGTTTTTTGGTTGGGTTGCCGGAGGACAGTATACATCATTTGGAAGGTCCCACCATACGTCCACCGGTAGTTTTCCAGTTGTTGCAGCCATCAACATGACTCGCATGTGCTTCCTGAATGGTATGTTTGGCCCCAGGATTTCTAAATACCATGGTTTGACCGGCGTTTTTCGAGGAAACATGGTTGGTTTCCTAAGGGCCCAAGACGATGCAATGCCAATATGGGCCACCAGATTGAACATCGTATTTGCCCCTGCGGCTGTCATGGATGAGCTTAGTTTGGTTCAACCACCCATAGCGGTGCAACATGGTGCAACAGGTCAGCCTCCAACAACAAAACTATCTTCCGCACCCAGGAAGTGGATGGGAAGGCCGCTATGTTCCTGGAATGCAATGGCGCAAGGAAGCAGTCGATTTGCTGGTGGTGTGCGGTCTCATCATTGGCTCGGTTCTTTTCATGGTTGGTGAAACAAAGTGACATAGGTATCACAGGTGTCAGATTTTTAGGGACACTCAGGCCCCAGGGAGGTTGTTGACCAGCACATCGATTTGACAGGGTACACCGGCATGCCACACATCAAAAAAAATGGTTCCACCATGTCACCAAGATGAAGCAACAATCGGTCAACGATGTTGCTGGGATGTTTTTGCAACATTTAGAGTATTGAAGGTATTGTGGCCGACGGTTCTCTGTGACATCCGTGTTTCTGTCGTTCTGCGTCCCGGCCAAGCCAACGGGCTAGGAATAGTTGATAGTCACAGCGAATGGGAATCTGACGGCCAACTTACCCCAAAATACCTATGGGTAGACTGACTGACCAGGATCTGACGTGCCATATGCCTGGTGTAATCCGCGGACCTGACATTTTGAGGCTGGTGGCTCTGCTGGGAGCTATTTCGGCGGGGGGCAGGCACTGAGCATGTTGGCATCCGGTCAAGCTCATAAACAACATTGGGATCGATATGGGAGCTGTTTGGTTTTTTGATTGATTTAATTTGGGTGGTTGCAAGTTTTGGCCCTAGCTGCCTTACCCAAGACAACTGCAGACAATGTGGCTGCAGTTCTGTTGTCGGCTTGTGGGGGTAGGAAGTGTTGGACTACTTGCTATTGCCATCATTGGTCAAACTCGCATTTCCTGCACTGCCCATTTTGCAGGAAACATCAGAAAACACAGAAATATAATTTGGCCAATGATGGCAATAGCCAATTTTTCTGAGGTTTTTCTGAGAAAGGCATGGGACATTCAGAACAACCTCAGTTTCTATCGCAGGCTTCTGGTTCTTCCAGCACTTCAAGTGAGTTGAGCAAGGCATTGCAGCAGAACCTGCAG